TCCTGAATCTCCCGACCACGGACGCCTATCATTTGCTGTAGTACATTTCTCACGGAAGAATGATACAATTCCAAGAAGATCGCCACTCCGGGGGGACGTTCTGGAGAATCCTTGTACACCCCAACCAGTTGTGAGGTTGAAGTGACTTAATCCTGACAACCAGAGCCCCCCTCTGCCTTGACCCTCTTCCACGCCCTTCGAGGCGGTGCAGACCGCAGTTTCCCCCGGCGGACCAATCCCTCGCCTAAATTCCCTCTAAGAATAACCCTGACTAACCATCTGGGCCGGTCTCGGGGACTTGGGGCGGCTTAACTTTGCTTTCTCTTGCTCGCCTTTTTCGAGAATTTCTTGCCACGCCCCACATCTGTGGAGGTTTATTTTCTGTAAATTTACCCATTTTCACTTTCGGTACTGAGAATTACCGGCTGGGTGTAATATTGCCGGTTTGGGTGATCGTCGAGAATTTCTCGTTTTCTTTATTCCTTTTGATAGACAGGGACTTGATAATTGTCGTCCAGTAAGATAAGGATCTAATTCAAAGGAAGTATCTTTTGTGTCTTCTAAAATAGATAGGAGGGAATAAAAAGCAAAATCTATTAATTTCCATAGCAATCAATCGGCAGACGCGCTATGATCCACCCACGCGACTATGGCGGGGTGTTCTTTTTGAGGGGCATTGATAAGGAATCCTTCTGATAAGTCGCTGGCACCGTGGATTTTTGATATGCATCAATTGTATGTACATGTACATGTAGATGTACATTCCTATCGGAAAGACCCTACCAATGCCCTTCCAGAATGTCTGTTCATCTGATCCCGGAACTCTGTCGGTCAGTATGACAAGGCACATATTGAGAGAAAAAGAGAGAGTCATTTAAATAGAAAGGAACGAATGATATCCAATCCGTGAACCAGTCTCCCATATGACTTGCTATAAGCCATGCGCCCGATCTACCAATGGGGTGTCAGTCCAGAACTATTAGTTGCATGCAACGTTCAAAATAAATGGGACAGATACTCGGGTCCTGCAGCTGATATGCACCGTCGTCGATTAATGGTTGATAATACCTCTTAGCAACAGCTTTTCGCGCCGCTATCTAAAAGCCACAGTCAGGCAACTCTCGTTCATCGCGGTGGGAGTGTATCCAAGGCCTGGTCAGCCGACTGATAATGATTGAAAAGGGGAAGTCACAATGCATGGAACATGTTGAGGAAGTATAATTAAACATCGATAGAAGGCGTCCGGATCACCGTGGCGTGGGGTGCGATTATCTGGGGAAGAGAGATACGGGCTAGATATCCAAGCGCCGTCGAGGGAGATTCCGGTGATTAGTATTCACAGCCATTCTATCGCATTGGACTGGCCTGTTCAAAATGACTCTGCCTATTTGCCTGGTTGCAGATACCTGCATTACTTGCATCCTTGTATTTTTTCCAGTGAACTACAGTAACTGTATCGGCGCAAAGGAGGAAAGGGGGAGTCATTTTTTTTTTTGTCGGATCCATGATGGCTCCATCTCTTTACCCAATTAGGGAGTCTTATTGAGTGCCTGAGGTGCGGTCTTGGGCAGTAACCTCGTAATCCACCGTGTATTAGGAAGATAGAACCATCTAGCCGACGCCTATCTCATGTTGGTTGGGAGGCTATCCAACTGACCCCATGTAGCTCTTAGTACCTTGTCATATATTCTCAGATAGGAGAGTACCTGATCCATTCAATGGTTGTGGGAACTGAATGGCGGAGAGCAACCCTTGTCTTAGCTGCAGCCTTGCCGCATCTTCTCAGTGTCCAGACACTCACCACAAATTGTGGGTTGCGGCTTTTTTTTTTTTTTTTTTCCTTGTGGTTTTGAATTTTCTGAAACACCACAACAACGCATCCACTTTCAACAATTAATTCAAAAATGATAATTCCATGCCAACCATCAGACCAGAATGAGTCTACAAAACTACACGTACATTTTCTAAAAATTCACTAGATTCTTGAGCTATAAAAAGTGATTTTGTTAATAATAATAATAATAAATTAGGAGAAAAAAAAGGCTACCTGAATTCAGAGTGAAACCAGTCTGGCAGTTATGCAGCCGAAAAAAAAATTAAAAAAAGAAATAAAATGTAAAAATAAAAAAAAAGAAAATTCAGTGGGAAATTCAATTTACCGGCGCGGTGCCCAGCAACCGAGAATATCGACCGGTGCCATTACCGTAATTTTCAAGCCGAAACCACCCTATACCTAATTAGGATGAATTTGCCCCCTCCCCCAAAAAAAGCTACAATGGATTGAGAGTCTCTCTTTCTCTTAAATTTAAAGCATCGCCTCCCCACCCACTGAACCATTGTCACTTACGTCTTTATCCTTCTATCCGTATACTTACCCATTTCCCTTCCCTTCAACTCGTTTTGCTTTTAATCTCCTCCTTTCCTCTTCCTTTCGCTACTTTCCAATCGATCTTTCAGATCATCGTTCCGCTTTCGTCTTTATTCGATCGCAAGAACAAAGCTTCTCTAAGCAGTTGAAGATTTTATTGGGTTCTGCTCTGCATCCGTTGCAAGCTGAGATATCTTGAAAAGAAAAAGTTTCTCTTGTCTATACTCTTCACACACATCAATTCATCATGGTAAGTCATACTCTTATCTCGCGCGTTATCGCGTTGTGGTCCTCGTTATCGGTCGGATAAGTGCTGACTCGTGACTCATCGCTACAGTCTGAATCAACAACCATCTCCAACACGGAGAATGTGCGTTACACTTCTCATTGATTGCTATCATGCTTTCTTCAGCCGTCTTCCCGGCTTTGAGGAAACAAACATACTGACTTGCGCTGGCAACAGCTCATGAAGTACATGAACCTCGACCAGCGCGGATCCGTGCAGGCTGAGTACATCTGGATTGACGCCGTCGGTGGATGCCGCAGCAAGACCAAGGTATGTATTCATACATGACCTTCATCCTACAATCTTATCCGCTGGATCGTGTGTCGGGTCGGAAGTATGGGTTGGGGCCATTGGATGGCAGGGCGCACAGACGCAAAGAGATGAAGATTGTTATCTTGACTCCTTTGCTGATAAGCCCTGCGCACGGTGATCCGATGCACCCTGTTCCTGCGCCTACCCGTATCACGTGATCAGATTTGGAGACTTTGGATTGCTGACTCCACTATCTAGACTCTCTCTAAGGCCGTTTCGTCCGTTGACGAACTCCCCGAATGGAACTTCGACGGTTCCTCAACCGGTCAGGCCCCTGGTGACAACTCCGATGTCTACCTCCGTCCCGTTGCTATCTACCCCGACCCTTTCCGTCTTGGTGACAACATCCTTGTCCTTTGCGAGACCTGGGATTCCGATGGAACTCCCAACAAGTACAACCACCGCCACGATGCCAACCGCCTGATGGAGGTCAACGCCAAGGAGGAGTTCTGGTTCGGTCTTGAGCAGGAGTACACTCTTCTCGGAAACGACGGCTGGCCTTACGGATGGCCCAAGGGCGGTTTCCCCGGTGCCCAGGGTCCTTACTACTGCGGTGTTGGAACTGGCAAGGTTTACTGCCGTGACATCGTCGAGGCCCACTACCGCGCTTGTTTGTACGCCGGCATCAACATCTCTGGTATCAACGCTGAGGTCATGCCCTCCCAGTGGGAGTACCAGGTTGGCCCCTGCTCCGGCATCGAGAGTAAGTTATATCATCTTGATTCATTTACGGTATTTCGGCTCTAACAGTTCTTTTAGTGGGTGACCAGCTTTGGATGTCCCGTTTCCTCCTCCACCGTGTCGCTGAAGAATTCGGCGTTCGTATCTCCTTCGAGCCCAAGCCCATCAAGGGTGAATGGAACGGAGCTGGTCTCCACACCAACGTCTCCAACGCTGCCACTCGTGCTGAGGGTGGTATGAAGGCCATTGAGGCTTACATGAAGAAGTTCGAGGCCCGTCACGTTGAGCACATTGCTGTCTATGGTGAGGGTAACGAGGAGCGTCTCACTGGCCGTCACGAGACTGGCAGCATTGACAAGTTCAGCTACGGTGTTGCCGACCGTGGTGGCAGCATTCGTATTCCTCGCCAGGTGGCTAAGGATGGCAAGGGTTACTTCGAGGACCGCCGTCCCGCCAGCAATGCTTGCCCTTACCAAATCACTGGTATCATCGTTGAGACTGTAAGTTCTTATCTTAAAGCACGTCGAGCCGATTTGAATATGGAGCTAACGGATTGCGTCCAGATTTGCGGTGGCAACTAGATACCTTAATTACCAATAAAAACGTGAAGACTTTTGTTTCCTCTTAGCGCTCGTATACCCTCCGGCGTCAGTTGGGATCGAACTAGGAGAGCAGCCTGGCGGTGTGGAGCACATATAGATTTTCTTTTTCTTTTTCTTCTCACGATGGTATTTCAGGTTTTCTTTTACTCAGATGCCAGAGCTTGCCTTTGCGTTCATTACCCCATGCCGTTTATATTCTAATTACATCTTTTTCGTTACTTGTTATGTGGGTTATGTGTTACGTCAACAACAACAACATAGAAGGTTCACAGTGAATTGGACAATCACTAGGAATGGAACAACTGTTTAGGAAATAGGAAGGAAAGGAGCAATCACTGTCATAGTATTATCGTGTATCAAATACAACCAATCGCTCTTTGGATGGTTTCAGTCGAAGTAATGCTGCGCTGAGCTTGACAATCAACTCGGTATAATCAATCTACCGTTGTGGCAGGTCACCTACCCACTTGAGGATCAGCACTTGACCTAATTTCTTTTATTTCTGTCCCTATGTCTTGATCGGTCATTGGTTTAGCGAAGTCTCAGCAATGAATAGAAACTATACTAGCAAGTCATGGTTCTACATAATTGGGATCAAAGGCTATCGCGTGATCCATACAAGCCTGCCATATCGCTCACGTAGCTCTTTCAATATTCAATTCCTTTAGACATAAGGTATCTGGATGATTATTATTATTATTATTATCAAGTTCATCGTAAAGACACAAGTTATACGTTCACGGAGTTGGGATTTTGTCACGATGAGCTGTATTTCGTATCGTTAGTAAGTATAGTCTAGACTAACTAACTATCTATTAGAATTAACATCTTTATGTTAACGAGATGTAGATATGTAGGTATAAATACATGTATTAGTTTTTGCCAATGGATCATACCAAAAGTCAACCCAGCCTGACTATTTAGTCAGGCCAGTAAACCCTGATGGGAAAATGTAACGTACATACTATATATAGTGTTAGTGTATGTACGCAATGATTGACCGATTAGTTAGTTGTTCCTCTTCTTGAAAAGAGAAAATACACTCGAGCCCAATCCATCGAGACCCCTCTGCTGTGCCTCGCGTCTAGCGGCACCATCCATGATCTTGTCCGGGTCATTCTCATCGCTCTTGCGTCCATCAATCACTCGGACAAGGATCTGCATCAACACCGCGGCGAGGATACTCCCGCACAGAATGCCCACCATGACTAGATTGCTTTTCCGGAACTTGAGACGGCCGGGCGCCGCGCTGTCCTCGGCCCAGCCGTTGTATAGGGCATATGTCGTTACGATGCTGCCGAGGTTGCCTAGACCGGAGACGATAGCAGAGGCGGCTGCGACGCCGACTTCGCCGTGGCGGGGTTGGAAGATCTCGGTGGTCCAGGTCATGGTTATGGGGACTGTGGGGCCGAGACCGAAGCCGACGATTAGGAGGCCGCCGTAGCGGGGCCAGGAGTTGGTGTCTGTGCCGGCGTAGGTGGTGAGGAGGAGGCCAAGGATTTGGAGAAGGACAGGAACGGAGAAGAAGATGGCGCGGTGGTGGTGGAAGCGGTCTGAGAAGGGGGTTACCAGGAGGATGGCGGCTAGGTCCATCTGTTGATTTTTTTTTAGGTTAGTTTTATGGTGATGTTGTTATTATTGGGTTTGTGGTGCTGGTTGGAGGGCACTTACGAGCCAGATTGGGGCGGAGAGGAGACTGAGGTCTATTCCGCTGAGATTGGGGTTTATGGCTTTGATGATTACTGTGGCGTAGCTTTGGACACCGATGCCGACGCCTACTACACCGAAGTACATGATGAGGAGGGGCCACAGGCGCCAGTCGAGGAACACGCGGATGAGGTCTTGGAGCGTCCATGCCGAGCGGTGGTATACGCGCTTCAGGTCGTGATAGTGGATTTCAGCGTCCCGGCCGGTCAGCGCAGGTGGACTGCGTGGGAACCACCGTAGGTATTTCTTCTTCGGGGCTTGTTCGCCTGGAGGTGTGGGCCGGTCTGGTAGCCACCAGAGGAGGAGAATGCCGACGGCGATTGTTATGACACCCCATACCAGGAACATCCACTGAAACCCGACGTAGCCTCGGACACCGTCCATCTTTTGGAATCCGGCCGAGACCAGGCCGACAGCTGCGGCGGAAAGCTGTGCTGCTGTGTAGTATTGGCCAATCCGCTTCCCCGTTCGAGACGGAGGGTAAAAGAGGGTCAGGTAGTAGGCCATGCCGGGCCACATGCCCGCGATGACGATACCAAGGAGTAGACGGAGAAGACTAGGTTAAGTTAGTTACCGCATCATGGATAGCCTTAGATGTTTAAACGTCAGAGGTAGAGCTCCAAGGAGTGTCGGTGACATACTAGAAACTCCAGGCGGCTTTCATGGCAGTCATGCAGGTGCCAATGATGCCGACAGTAATGACAATGCGACTCATCCAGACATGTGGACTGAGTCTGGACATGATTAGATTCGACGGCAGGTCGAAAAGGACATAGCACACATAGAATAAGGCGAGAGCGGTCGAGACTTGGTGGTCGTTTACGTGCAAAACATCGAAAATAGTGTGATTGGTGTCTATATTCATCGTTTGGGCGAGTGAAACATTGGACCGGACGGCTGCGCAGAGGAAATAAAGTACCCAGAAGGCAGGGATGATGCGAAAATCCAGCTTCCTAGAAATCTGTTAGATACATCTTTTTTTTTTTTTTTTTTTCTTCCCCGATGAGAGGGAGAGGGCATACCTGTAAATGCGCTCGATGTCGGCAATATCTGGCTCGCTGCCCGATTCCCCATCATCGCGGCTGTTGCGAAATTGCTCACGGATATCTCCACTATCAGGATGTTTACCCATGTCCTCGGATGGGGGTCGCGATTGAACTAAAGACATGCTGACCTATGATACTGCGATCTGATATGATCCTGCAGCACCAACGACGCCACAAACGAAGTTCTATCTCAGGTTGAGGATAGAATGGGACGCCCAAAAAAAAGGAAGAAGAAAAAAAAAAAGTAGGAGGTTAATAGAAGTTCAAAACTTCAAGCAACAGCAACGAAAGAGCAGGATTAAAACTCCGCAAATGGTTGTCGGGAAACAACCCCGCACGCCGACAAGAAACTTTTTGATCGTCTAGACCGGAAAGTTCCCCGAGTGCTTTTCTTGATTCGTTCGCAATCAGCCCTAACAATGAAATTAGAATGAGAATTATCTTTTTTCTCTCCCCCCCCCCCTTTTTTTTTTTTTTTCGTTTGCAGTGTGATTTGCGGCAGAATGAATATGCAACACACGGATAAACCCGTGAGCTTTCGCATATCCTCGGCTGTGGTAGTGTAGCTCCCATGGCTCATAACGAGCCCCCGAGTCAACTCAATAATGGATGCAAAAGAGACATACCTGAAAAGAAAGAGTCATTGCGGGTATTGTTTTTAATTGGTCTGGTTGATGAATTGATTGATTGATTGATTGATTGATTGCTTAATTAAGAAGAGGGGTTCGACGCTGGAAGTGATTGATAAAATTATTATCGATAGCTCGATAGCTTGGATTTAATATCCAACTTTAATTTGAACCCGAGGTGCCGATTGTGGGGCAGCAATAGAATACCCGTCTCGCGCTTTGATCGTCTGGTCGCAGGTGGCCTAGGGATATTCAGCAGTGGTGATAATATATCAAGAGTTGAAGTTCAACAGGCATTGAAGAAGAGCAGATTGAACGAAGCAGTAGCAAAAGTAGTAGTAGGGAGAAATGTTCTCGACTCAATCCATCCGATGCTCGGCGGAAAGAAGGGGAAAAAAAAAGCAGATCCACCAATGAGAAGCTCGGAACGCAGAAGCATAAATCAATCAACCCGAAGTCCCAAACGTTAATCGAATTAGAAAAATGTCAATGGCAGAGATTGTGGAGAGGCACGAATATAAGCAGTCGAAAAAAACCAAATGACTCATTCAGATAGCTTCGATCCGATGTCGGGTCCCTTCATCATTCAGCTTTGGCTTCAGTGAGTGCCAAGTGACGACAACGACAAGACGGGGAGATCGGTGAGCCAACCGGTGAACTTTAAGAAAACTTTTTTCTCAGCTCAAAAGATCAACAATAGTCTCAAAACCCTTTGTTTGTCGGAGACGCTATTAAGTAATTCTCCGAACTTAATGGTTCATTCGAGGCATGATCGTTTCACGTGGATGAAGCCATGCACCAAGCGGTTGTACTTCCCATCTGCTACTTTTGATACCTGATTTATCAACTGTATATTGCTTGCTTTCCTAGTATATTTCGCCTTCACGGCGATCATTGGAGTTTGGTAGCACTACTGTCAACTGTAGCTCACGAGGCCCTGCTGAAGGGAAAGTCAACTAACAACCAGCATGAGTCAAGTTCGGTTCATAGCTTCTGTGTAGCAAGATCGTCCTTGGATCAACCAAGCATGGGCGCATTCGTGTATTCCTTATCTAATAATTATCGGTCATGACTGTGCCTCTGAAGAAGGACATGATACCAATGGAAACTGGTATCAATGTCGTACTTACCAATCTTTAAGATAGTAAATGCTTTCAATTATTGCAGTCACCGACCGCCGTTTGTCCTTCAATGGCCTTTAAATATAAAGATGACAAAAGTCGCCTTCAACTTCTCCTCGATGCATGCTTTTGCATTATTTTTTTTTGTCAGAGCAATTGGGCTAGTATGATGCCTTTGTTATGCAGAGGTGGCGTTCTCGATGAGGCTCTTCCTGCTTAGCGCAACTGCGCAAGTGTATGAGATACCTCTTGCTGAGCCTGATATCTACTTAGAGAGTCATATAGTAATATTCTCAATAAGAAGCCGCGAAGTATACATGTATCTGCTCAGTTGTCACCGGTCTCTTTGATCTCTTGACCAAGAACAATAGGAACACTATACGAAAGAAGGAGTGCGTTAGGGCGTAAGGATTGGATAGAGAGACACGCATAAGCCCAGTATATACCAGAGTAGTCTGCTATCTGAGAGAAATGTACAGCATGGAAAGAAGGCCATTGAAATATTGCCTGGGCGTGATATCTCATCCATTTTAAACAGGCATATTGGAAAATGGAAATCAAATCAGGTTGACATCAGTACCCGCACGCATATACATAACGTTGAAAATGTTGATAATTTCCACTAAAAAAATATTAAAGAAAGAAGACCATTTGCTCTGCTAGAGAAGCTGATACTGTGTTAGTTAGGGCATGTGACCCAAGTCAAACGGTGAATGATTTCTGTTGTTTGTTGTCTGCTTCTGTTTGTATCTTTCCACCCTCTTCTTCTTCTCCCCCTTCTTTCTCTTCCCCCCCCTCCCCCTTTCATCCTGTATCCTACTTCAAATCTCTGTGCTTGATAGCTTTTTCTTCCTTTCTTGAGTGTGCGAAGCCTTCTGATACTGCTACCCCACAACCAGCAACTTTCAGGTGAGTATCCTCCTGAATCTCACACTGTCTCCTATGCTAGTAGACCAAGCACCAGACCCTCACTGTTAGGGAGATTCACTCTCCATCTACACACGTATTGTTTACGCATCTCATGCTTTTGCTCCATGAAACCCCACTGATATCCTCCGCTTATAGTCTCAGGCCCTTCAACGTGACAAGCGTCCACATACGGAGAAGATGGGTGAGTGGAATGCTGATGATGGAGCGGCTGGGTGGGAGAATGGCGGTGGTACTGGTAGGTGTTCATGATCATGAGTGTAATCCTAACCATGCATCATGCCTTTGCCCATTTTCCTGTTTTGCTCTACGCATAGACTCTTTATATTACTCCTCGAGACTAACATATAGATAGCGGCTTACAATGACGAGAATGCTAACCCTTCCGGAAACTTCAAAGATGCTGGCTCTGATGGCGATGCCTGGGAGACTACTTCTGCTGGGAATGAACAGAATGGTGACAACAGATGCCGCAAGTAGGTTAGCTTCTATGGCTTTCTTTTTCATTTACTAACGCATGTACAGCTGTGGAAGCGATGATCATTTCGCACGTAACTGCCCTGAGCCCCGTAAGGGTATGGCCTGCTTCAACTGCGGTGAGGAAGGGTAAGCAACATGACGATTGAATGGTTGTCTATTGCTAAGATAAGCTGCAGTCACAGCAGAGCAGAATGCAGCAAACCTCGTGTTTTCAAAGGCACTTGCCGCGTCTGCAACCAGGAAGGCCATCCTGCTGCTCAGTGCCCTGAGAAACCTCCTGATGTGTGCAGGAACTGCAAATTGGAAGGTAAGACAATGACGGCTTTTACTTCCACGAGAAAGACTAACCTATGGTTACAAAGGTCATAGAACCATTGATTGCAAGGAGAACCGCAAGTTCGACCTGAACAACATACCAGACAAGCTTCCAGAGGAGGCCTGGGCAGCCATGCAGAAGGCCAGTGAGGAGAGGGACCTTGAGGACTTCCGCGAAGTATGTTTCTCTTAGACATTATTGTTTCTTCTCATATTTTCTAGGAGCTTACAGGAAGACAGGCTTTGAAGATCTATTCTAAGGCGATCCCTGATGCGACTTTCGTTGATATTGAAAACAAGATGCGTCAGGACAACCTTAATTTTTACCTTATTGCGATGGTTAGTAGTACTCATGACTTGTCCTTCTTACCGTCCGTGAGTGCTAATTGCACGTTTGAAAACAGGAAAAGCCCGTTGGTGACTGTATCAGTGTGATCAATCTTCAAGGCAAGCTGGACTGCAAGTATGTCGTTGGGTTTTACTACAGTCCGAAGCCCCAGCGTGCCAATCTCAAAGAGCGTTGGCCTGAGTCTATTGAAGAGAACCTTGAGCGCTTGGAAGATGCCGGTATCCCTTATGATAGAGAAATCCCAAAGTGCTCAAACTGTGGAGGTAATCCAGACTCTCGCATCTCTAGCAAGGCAGTTAGCTAATGACTAAAGAAATGGGTCACACTGCGCGTGGCTGCAAGGAGGAGCATGTGGTTCATGAACGTGTTGAAGTGAAGTGTGTCAACTGCAGCGCTGTCGGACACCGTGCCCGTGACTGCACTGAGCCTCGCCGCGATAGATTCGCTTGCCGTAACTGCGGGTACGACTTCCTCTGTTCGAATGCATGATTGTGTTGCTGACCGTGTGTAGATCCTCCGAGCATAAAGCAGCCGAATGTCCTAACCCTCGCTCTGCAGAGGGTGTTGAGTGTAAGCGTTGCAATGAAGGTGATACAATTCAGCCCAAATTTAAACATTCCTACATGCTGATATGTACATTCAGTCGGTCATTTTGCGAAGGATTGTCCACAGGCCCCTGCCCCGAGAACCTGTCGCAACTGCGGGTAAGTATGAGTCCCACCCCCTCAAAGGCCTCACCTTTCTGTCTTTCTTCTTTTTGGCTCTGGCCTATGACGACGATCTAACAGAACAGATCCGAGGATCACATTGCACGAGACTGTGATAAGCCACGTGATATTTCAACCGTGACTTGCCGTAACTGTGATGAAGGTTAGAATCGACGTTCCACCTCATCTAGGGCCCTCAAACTAATACGAGTGTTAGTTGGCCATTTCAGCCGCGATTGTCCGAAGAAGAGGGACTGGTCAAAGGTCAAATGCAACAATTGCGGTCAAAGTAGGTTGATCTACGATAATATTTCTGAACAGTCATGTTAATATCAAGTACTCAGTGGGCCACACTGTCAAGCGCTGCCCTAGCGCCGCAGACAATGATACCGGTATGGGCGACAACCCGGGTTTGGAAGATAATGGCAATCAGAATGCGGCCGCAGATGGCGGGTGGCCTACCGATAACATCGGGATGGCCGACCATTCGGAGGCTGTGCCAGCCGAAGAAGGCGGATGGAAACCAGGTTGGTAGACGTCCAGCGTGCCGGTCAGAGCATGGCGTGAGTCGGAGTGATCGTTTGAGACGATGTCTGATGTCATCGCACGTGCATGGATCGTCCCCGTGTAGTCTGCTCCAGGATTTCCTCGAGCTTCGTCCATTCTCGGTTTGATTTGGTGCGATTTATGGAGCATGGTAGCAACGCTAAATTCGACCGGCGGGGCCGGGAAGAGAAGTCACTCACACGGACCGGGATACAATCGGGAAAAGGAACCACTCCTGTCTCACGACGCAATGATTCCATTATCTGTTTGCCTCGGGAATTAGTGAAGTTTGAATGCACTGCTACAAATGAAATTCGTCTCCATCATTGGTCCTTTGCATTCCGGTAATGCTATGTACAGTGTATGCTTTAGTAGCGTAGGGCTATTATGCGGTTCAAGTATGCTTCGTAGGCCATCATTAACCTGATCGGATGATTGGGAATTCCATAGCCAGGTAAACTTACGCGGAGAAAGTGTAAAAAACAAGCATCGGCCCTTGCCCGAACTTTTGCTTCTGCACCCATCAAAGAAACCGAGCCAATTCACAAGACACAAATCCCGAAACCGAAAATAGACGTCAGCAACACCCCATCCAATAAACCAGAACCTTCATAAATTTAGATAAAAACAACAATGCCTCGAAAAAGTACCAAGTAAACAGGTAAGAATAAGAAATAAATAAAAACAACACCTGTAGTCTACGTGTAAAGACAATCCAACCAATACGACCTAAGACGGGCTGGGCAAGCCGAAAACAAAGCAGGAAGCATCCCTTGCAGTCCGCATTCAGGCATCCCGAGAACATTCTTCGAATCGGGCAGCCAAGCAACGTGGGACAAACGTGGTGGTTATGTATGTGCCTATGTAAGTATGCAGCAATCTAATATTTTGCTCCACTGGGATCAGCATCGGAATGTGAGATGAGATGGCTGTGATGTAAGGGGTAAGTGGTTGTGTTGTTAAATGGAGTTATGAGCTATGTGATGGTGATGTATAGGGTGTGTAGCCATTTGAGTTCTATTTGTGCTTTGAATGGTTATTATGTGGTCTTGGGTCTGGGCTATAGGCAACGTATGTACATACTTACGTACATACTTGTAAGGGCCGGTTCTTGAATGAACTGATTTCATGGACATGTACATTGCGCACTGTATTTGATTAACATCTTCACGGTGTAGGTGGCGGAAATGATCTACAAGATTGCACAGCAGCAATACGAGCTTATTTCTGTACATTGTTGATATGTTCTGCGCTGTAGCGACAGACATGCAAGGGGTGCTTTTACCTCTTTTGCCGTTTATCGGGAGTTGATCCGGTGGGATAACTTCTGTTAACGGGATGCTTTTTCAGGATATCCTTGCTTCCATGAGCCGCTCTCGATTCATGCAAGTTGTGTTGTCTGTTGCCCTTCAATCAAGTTTTGTTTCGGTACAATAGATCTATTGTTGATCTTGAATCGTCGTATGGATTACTAGTTCGATCTCTTTATTTAAAGCTGGCGAACACCCTTACTTCGCCGATAAATGATACATAGTCTCCTTGAGTATATCAGACTACTCATTCAACAAACCAAGGTACATCGCATCGGCGGTTGAGTAACGGTAATAGGTATCAAATTGCCTCGGCTTCTTCGGACACACGCCGGCCATAGGAGACTGGCCCGTGACGGTTCCCCATAGTGACCCCAACCCAATTCTCAATCTTCCCCGTCAATTTGACCTTACCCGTCCGCATATGACCGCCACCATGATACTCTATCCCGACAGATTCCCTGTACCGACGGCGTAGCAATTGCCTATATAGGTAGTTGAGATGCAGAGGTTCGTGCTTTCAAGCCCTGTGCGCATCCCGAACCCAACAACACACTACACTACAGTTTAAATGTTTTCTCCTAAGCAAAACATACACACTAATGCCAGCCAAGAGGGATCGCGCCAGAGGGGTACCTTCTACCTAGTACTTCCCCTTCGTTCGGTCTAGTGGTAACCCACCCACTCACACCATCCGCCACTAGGTAACTATGGGTCAATATATTCTCCGGTTGACACGCTCATTGGATTTAGGAACTCGGTCCGGTCGGCTCGCCCTCTGCACAGTATGTAGCATGCAGGTGGTATGAGCTGATTCCGTCTGCTGAGTTGACCCACCCGTTGGGGATAGGTGCAGTTCACCTGGTAGCGAGAATAATGACTTCTTGGCTGCTTGTTCGATAGTATTAATTAATGTAGATATGCATATACGCCCTACCGTGCCGTGTGTGCGATGCATCTAGTTGTATCTGCGATCAGCATGTCAGATTGGATGTGGGCGTTGCATCAGGCGGGTTACGGATCATCTTGGAATAGGAATCTGGAAATATCTTCCTCTTTTTTCCGTACTACGCGAAATAAAGGAAAACAGGTAATAAGCATGGATCTGGAGCCCCATGACAGATGAGAATGCCCTGGGGTAACCTCTATGAACCAAACTGCAGGGTGGCCATTGATATGGTTGTCTCGGCCTCCTCACGAATATAATTTCCAGTGTAAAGGGTATGGAACGAACGGAAATGCCCGAATAGGTAATCCGAGAAGGCGTCTGGAGGTCTGGGTGTCAGAAACATAGTAGAAAATCAGTTCGGACAGAGCCGAACGACTGTGGAGAGGCAGTGCACGTTTCACGAGGGGCGAAAGCCAGAATGGGGAGAAAACGGGGAAGGGATCCGCAGGCAATGACAACTAACTGGATCCAGGTTGGAGAAGATCTCAGCTGGTTGGCTGAGAGCCTTTCAACGCGTGAGGTCCATATGGGGCACGCCCAGTGAGGTGCGCAAGCCCAACGCCCTTTTGGAATGTGACGGCCGCCCGGCAGAACCTTAGGACAAAACAATGGCGGCTGAAAGAGGAGGCGAACTTTATACAAGATCCGTGGTATCAAATTGCCCGTTCAAACCTCGAACCTGGCTTCGGAAATCGTCTACAGAAAGTCATTTTAAGAAATTCTTAGCTTTCTCTGGGCACGGTTATTCACGAGTCTTGACTGTTGCTTGGTGGTACTTGGCTTTGCTAGGATTCTAAATTGATCTCGTATGGGAAGGGCTTGAGAGCGCGCCGAGACGGGTGGCATCAAACAACAGGCTGTTACCTTTTCATGGCAGCCTTAGGCCGATCCTTCGGTGGTTTAGCCTCTCGGCCATGGCTGGGATCATTTCGGAGAGGGTTTCTCCGGGCCGGGTTGATTTAAAGTTGGGATGCTTTCGGCAGGCTTCGGCCTGTATCACGGGACAAAGAAAAAGGTAAAAACAAAGAAAAGGATAAAACTTGTATCTCTTGGTCTTTCAAACAAACCACAAAATGAAATAATAAAAACTCCCAAACCAACAGCGCAGATATTTCCCACCGGTGGTTGGCTGATTGCTTTCTTTTGTACGATTCTCCGATTCAATCAGACGACTCCCATTCATTTCGCCGTGGGAGTGGGGAACTCTTCGTCGGTGCCACCTGATTGGATTGACTGACTTAGCGAGGTAGTACCTACTAGTACTAGTAGAAGATGCCAGTTCTACCTGACACTCATGATACTACGAGGAAAAGTCGACCAACCTGGATAAGTACTGTACCGCTAGTCGCTGGGACGGAACCCCATCGAACGATAATCTTACGGAATTGCATCCAGGTATCAAACAATCAGGTCCCCTCGCCGGATTTGGAAGTAAGGCAGAAGCTTTCGATATTAATAACAAAATTAAACGAAGGATGGACAATAAGCGCCACGGAATCGGTAATATTTGAATAGGCTCGATATCACTGTGGCTGATCGAGGCGTCAGAAGTAAGGGCGAGGGGCCGTGAGCTGGCGGATAGGGCCGAGTAGTAGGCCCCTCTTCGCAAAATCCGGAGACTCCAAACTCCCCGGATTCCTGAGTAATCGGCCGAGCAGGTCAAGTGAGATGAGCGGAGCGATGACGATGGATGGACCCTCTTTTTTTTTTTTTTTTTTCACTAAAATACGAATCAGGTTCTCTATAGTTCTAGTACTATCTGTGTCTCCTGTTCTCGACCACTCGAGCCGCGCGAAATCTAGTAATACAAAGTACATTAATAGCGGTTGATACGATGCGCGTAAGGCAGGAACCCCGAACCGGAGACGGGATCTAATCCCTCGTACCGCGTAAATAGAATTAAAGGCAAAAAGAGAAGAAAGGGAGACTAGTGACGATCTTTTACTACAGTAGCTAAGTATTATGATGACCGGAGAATTGAGCCCACGTATAACCATTGAACCGAGCTTTATTTTTATCCATGGAAAAAAGCAAAAGGAAGTAATTCATGTTGGATATCTCGTGCACGGAGGACCCGATAGAAAGTGAAAAAAAAAAAAAAAATTTATAGAAACAGGAAAGAGACCATCCCGTCGGATTATCCAAAACAGGTTAGACAGAAAAGCGGACGCCAACCCGCAATGCTAACGCCATGACGGCATTGGGTGGAGTGGAGCAGCAAAAAAAGTAGAGTAGCAAATGCGTCGTTTTTTCTCTCCGCGTTTCTGTTCACTTATTCGCCTACCCGTTTAGCCCCCGCCGATCGACTCTTTTGTGGAGTGTCGCCCGACGACCACCATCGTCATACTCCGGAACACTTTGCTTCAAGCATAAAAGTGATGGTGTGAGAGAAAACCCCGACTTTGGGGCCGTTAAAGGTGCCTGGGAGTCATCCTATGTGGGGATTCGGATCCAGTTCTCTTCCCTTTTGGGGCTTCCGGTTCAACCAATGGAAATGTGGTGTGGAGGATGGAGAGCGACAGTCAAAAGCCTGGAGAGAAAGACGGGGAAATTGGTACTAATGCGAGACTACTACCTTGATCCAGAGAGAGATTGGCACCTGGGTGGAGATTCTCATCCATCGCAATCATTCCCGGTAGCCCAATCATGGGACGAATTGTAAGGACTCTTCGATCGTTTGCGATACCAAACATGCAACCTTGGACCCCGTTGACCCCAAGGAACCTGTACTTTTTCTTAGTCAGAGGCCATGCGACCCCAATATTGCAGTGGTAAGTATCATTGAATGTTATGTATGTCTGTGCAGTACCGTCTGATGCGTGGAACTTTAAATTCGATTTAGAATTTATGAATTTCACCCTCTTCCTTTTTTATTCTATTTTCTCCTTTTTTCTAAAAAAAAAATAAAAAAAAAATGAATTTAGTATTATTATTATGATTATGATCATTTAGTCCCAGTAGCCATGCCTTCTCCAGTCCTTTGCCTCGCTTTTATAAACCCCGTTCACTCCCCTGCTGTCACCATCCTGATGATCTTCCTTTCTTTTTAATCCCGATTTACTCTTGCGTTAATGCATCCTTCTCTTTCCTTTCTATCCCCTTAGATCTCCCCTTCACTATCGCATGAGACTGCCACTTTCCATCCACGCTCACCTGAAGCAGTCTCGTCCCGTGTGGGAATCTAGTCCAATTCGTTAGGAGGGTAACAATCGCAGGATCCAAGATGGGTCGCAGGTATTTGGGCCTTCAGGGCAACGCCCTGCAAATCGCCATCGGTGTTATTGCTGGTATGGACTTTCTACTATTTGGTTACGATCAGGGAGTCACCGGCGGTCTTTTGACCCTTCAGTCCTTCATCAAATATTTCCCCACCATTGCTACCAGTGGTGAGTACTATGACAGTCTCACCCAGGCCGAACAGAGTACCCAATCTACTCGCCAAGGTAAGTTGCACCTTTTTTATTCCCTAGGGTACGAAACCGCTGGAGCTAATGAACTGAACCGCAGGTATTGTTGTCGCTGCGTACAACTTGGGATGTTTTGCGGGATCTATCCCGACAATTTGGATTGGAAATTGGCTTGGTCGACGTAAAACTATCTTTCTCGGTTCCTTCATCATGGTCATTGGAGCACTGTTGCAGTGTACCGCGTACCAGTTGCCTCAACTGATCGTCGGACGTCTGGTGACTGGATTCGGTAAGTAGCGGAAGGCGCCAGGAGAAAAGTCTCAGCTAATATTGTATTGCTAGGAAACGGCATGAACACATCCACCGTGCCCACCTGGCAGTCTGAGTGCTGCAAATCCAATCATCGTGGTAAACTGGTCATGATCGAGGGCGCCATGATCACTTGTGGTATTACTATTAGTTACTGGATCGACTTCGGTTTGCTCTTTGCCGACCCCAGTGAGGTCGCCTGGCGTTTCCCACTGGCTTTTCAGATCTTCTTTGCCGCCATCATCCTGGCTTTTGTCATGTTCCTTCCCGAATCTCCCCGCTGGCTTGTGCTTAAGGGCAAGGAGGATGAAGCGAAAGAAGTTCTGGGGGCTTTGTTGGGCGATGGAACTGATCCGACATTCTTGCAGACTGAGTTCACGGCTATCAAGGCGACCGTTTTGGAGATGGCTAAGGGTTCGTTCAAGGATATGTTCACCATGGGCGAAGACCGTCATTTCCACCGCACCGTGTTGGCCTATGTCAACCAGATGTTCCAGCAGATTTCCGGCATCAATTTGATCACATATTATATCCCAGTTGTGTTGGAAGAGCAGATGGGTATGACCCTAATCAACTCTCGACTGATTGCGGCGTGCAACGGAACCGAGTATTTCATCGCCTCTTGGATTGCGGTGTTCACGATCGAAAAATTCGGTCGCCGGACGCTGATGCTTTTCGGTGCTGCGGGCATGTCAATCTCGATGGTCATCCTCGCCATCACAGCTAGTCTCAAAACCTCCGAAGCCAACATCGCCTGTATTGTCTTCCTATTTGTATTCAACACCTTCTTTGCCATCGGCTGGCTGGGAATGACCTGGTTGTATCCCGCCGAGATCGTGCCTTTGAAGATTCGTGCTCCAGCCAACGCCCTGGCGACATCGTCGAACTGGATCTTCAACTTCCTCGTCGTTATGATCACCCCTGTTGCTTTCGATAATATTGACTACCAAACCTACATTATCTTCGCCGTTATGTAAGTCTTCCCTGCGGTCCTGCAGTCAGATCCTTCGTACTAACCAACTACAGTAACGCATTCATCGTTCCGGTTGTATTCTTCTTCTATCCGGAGACAACCCGTCGGTCGCTGGAAGAAATGGACCGCATCTTCCGAAAGACGAAGAGCATCTTTTCGGTAGTGCGTGTTGCGAATGAAGAACCTCACATGTATGGCAAGCATGGTGAGCTCTTGCATACGCTGGACGATGTAGAGGATGAGGCTGTGCGCCGGGCTAGTGTGCTGAGCCACGCTCATAAGGAGTTGGAAAAGGACAGCTCTGAAAACGACAGCACGAACAAGGCTTGAGCCCAATGCTACTTTTCTGCGTTGATGATACAAAACCCTTTTTTTTTTTTTTTCTGTCTCTGGTCGGGCTGAATTCTGGAAGGTCAGAAATGATGCCCTGCACAAATAATATACCCAGCTTCTATTCTGTATTTAGCTTTTTGGTTCTGCATGTAATACATCTCTGATATGATGATCATCTACCGATCTCTGTGTGGATCCCCTGGTGCCACTTCGTCCAATCTCAGTCAATAAGGCTAGGTGAACAATTGCCTGCAGGTAACTGGCAGCCCTTCCTGATTCTTCGGGCTTCTAATTTACCCAACGGCCAGCTTCTAGAACATCTATCACGGAACAGAAGGGAGTTAGGGCTGAAGACTCAGGAAGTAGGTAGATCCCCCCCCCGGCCAAAACAATTGGAACTGTTCTTTTTGGAAACATCACTAACCCTATCTTGGACTAATCGATACTATCAATCCAGTCATAAGACCGGGATTAGCTTTTCGAGCGTTTAAAAAAACCGTAGTTATAGTAGTTGATGTCCGCATTCAGTACGTAGTACTTCTCAATATGTACTTATCGGCGCTAACCCCAAAAGAGTAAAGGACCTTAATTTCCACTGCTTTCCCCACACTATCGTCTTCTCTTCCGCACTCTTCATCAGTGTTACTCCCTTAGCAATGTTTATAGACCACATTGATGCCCTATCTCAGGGTCAGGGTACTGGTACTGTATCAAAGTGATGACAGAGCCTCAGAATAGCAGGCCGGTTGGCCGCCGGAGACGACCGAAGGTTCCCGACGCTTTGCGGAAGAGGACCGCACGAGCGTAAGTATTCATCTAAATTTCGACTAAAGGGCGCACATGCTCTATATATAAAAGCTGACAATTCACCTTCCTATTAGATGCAACCCATGCAGATATCACAAGGAGAAATGTATAGACTTTGTTCATTACCTATTTTCTTTGCTACACTTGCTGATTGTTCCAGGTCAGGGCGGGATGCCTTGCTTGCGATGCCAACGGTACAAGAGAAACTGTCAGTACAGCCAGGCCCCTGCGCAACCAGCTAGTAATGGCACCACAAGGTATGGCGAAGTATTAGTTTGCCAGAAAGCTGTTTGATGTCGCAACTTACATTATAGAGCCAGCACCTCCCCACAACAGGGCTCAGATAAGGAACGGTGTCTCGAAAGGATAGTGCGCCATTTCATGGGCGATATATCATTCGAGCAATCAAATCTTCAATTCGTGGCGGATGCTCTGGAGAGGGACCGAGTAAGCTCAAGGAAGCCTTCCACCCTAGCGCCGGGGCCGAGCGAGCTCTATTCCATTCATCCGCTTTCCACGAGTACGATGAGTAAGTCATGGTGGACGTAGCTTTTCTCACCAGATGCCAAGGAACTTATCTGGATCTCGTGTACAGTCTACTCTGGGGAATTTTCTCATTGGAATTTCTCACGGATGATCCGCCGAAAATTGCAAAGTCTGGGAAACGATCCCGACGACAGCATGGTACGGTTCATTTGCTCCATATCCTAATACATTATGTATGCTGACTACCGTATTCAGACGGGAGACTCTCACACGGCTCATGATCCTTTCCGTGCAACTGGTCTTCAGTCTCCTAGTTCAATTGTTGCTTCAGCGAGAAAGTATTTCCCGCCGCGACATATAGCAGAATTCTTGTTGGAAACATTCCTCGAATATACCCAGACGAATTATTACTATTTCGACGAAACCGAATTCCGGCAGAAGTTAGACTACTATTATACCGAGGATCGATACCTAGATATCAACGACGCCGGCTGGATCTGTACCCTTTTTATGACGTTCGCATCTGGGACTCAGTTCGCTTACATGCATGCTAGCCGACCCCCATACTTGCAGAGTATGTCCGGCGAAGACCACCTACCTGATGATACCATTGGCCTCGCGCTCTATAGATTCTCGTGCCGCCTAATCCCCGATCTTATTACCACCGCCTCCGTCGAAACTGTCCAGGCGTTTTTATTGTTCGGGGTTTATACAATGCCGATTGATACCTCTGGTCTTGCCTACACTTACCTTGGACTTGCTATAAAGATGGCTATCCAGAATGGTATGCATCGTCAGTTTGGAGAGGAAGGTCTAGATGCACGCACGATTGAATTGCGTAATCGTCTTTGGTGGTCTGCGTACGCACTGGATAGGTGAGGGAGAACACAATAACGCTAGCCATCATCTCTATTCTAACTGTATACCATACATAGACGGATCAGCATCCTTCACGGACGCCCAGTCTCCGTGTCCCCAACTGAAATAGACTGTGATATGCCTAAAGACATACCCGAATTGCGTCCCCCGGGCCGAGTCACAAATCTACCCAATCTCACTGCTACTCTCCAGCTGACTGAGCAGCTTGCGAAGGTTGCACCCATCATGTAAGGAACCGATTCTTTAACCAAGTTATTCCATCTGCTGACCTCTTTTATCGGATATCTAGATCCCGACTGCAAAATTGTCCAGGGGAGCTCCATCAGATCTATCTTAAGCAGCTCCTACGTGTACGCGATGAACTCAGGAGCTGGTGGGCCACCCTGCCCGAAGATGTGCACTGCCGGGACTTTGATCCCTCCAAGCCGCTTTTTCGCTATAATGTCCACTTGGAACTGACGTACGCTACGATAATCATGTACATGGGTCGTCCCCTGATTCTTGCCGGCATGCCAAGCTCATCGGCCTCTGCTGAGGGCGGCTCCGACTCAGCCGTAGATGCTGGTGCAATGTTGTGTTCTGACTGCGTTCAGGCTGCTCTCCGAATCGTCGAGCTATGTCAATTACTACAGGACACTGTCGGTGTAGCACGAGTTTCGTATACTGAATTTAGCTCCTGCCGTGCGGCGCTCTTGGCTATTATCGCCCAGAGCTTGAATACACGAACAGAGCGGCTACGTGGAGCACTTACGCAAGGCATGGGTCTGATACGCCGGATGTGTGTTGGCCTTCAGTCAGCTCGTTCAGAAGTAGCAGTTATTGAGGCGCTTGAGCGCGCAGCCCAGCGTCTGGACAACCGAACTGAAAATGAAGACACAGCCTCTGGTGAATCAGGCGTCGGATACAACCAGTTTAGGCGCTGGGCTATGCTATGGCAGTCCGAGACCCCTCCATCCAATGTAGGGGGCGAATCTGAGCACATTGGGCTCGAAAATGCGCAGTTACCAACAGGATCTTTTGACGGATTCTTCTCTTCCTTTCCCCAAGAGCTCGGGGCTTTTGCATCTTTTCCAGAAACAGGGATGCAGTTTGGCGAGAGCTTGCCAACCATGCTTTGGCCTGATGACTTATCACTACCAGCGTTCCCTCCAAACCCGGATGCTCCCATTTGACGGCGGCATATGAGGATATTATTAGACGCTTGAGATGGCCTACGTCTTTGCTCTGTGTGAATCTCTCGCGACAATCTCACGTTTTATCAAAGTTATATCTCATATCGTACTCGGCCATATCTATTAAGCCGGTGCCATGTCACGAAGGCCCGACTGATTGAACCATAACTGTCAGGTATATGAGCTCTGTTCCTTGATATCTAACAACACAGAGATACTTATGAAATGGAGGTGGACATGCCAAATGGAGATGACAGACTTTCTTGGGGTAGTAGACCCTTCATTTTCATCTGGAACCAAAGTCCTGTGTATTTGACGCCAGCTACCATTAGGCCAAAGGAGCGTGAGAGGTGATATGTTCTTTTGCAAAAGTCCAATGAGCATGGTCATTGCAATCGAGCGTTGGATGATTCGACCGCTTCCGCAAAGTCAATCCTCAATCATATAGACAATTGAGTGTACGGCTAGCAGTTGCGATAAATTTCACTAAGTGTTCAGCTACGAAATACGAGGCAATCCAAGAGACCTCGTAGTTGGATAATCTATACTATCATGGACAAAGATGTAGCTGTTGTCCTTGACATTCGGCTCACAGGCCCTCAGCAAAGTTCAAGGAACAAATCGAGATCGAGAAGCCATCCGGGTGCTCGTAGCCGAGTGGCTGTGGGCTGACCATAATCATTTAAAATCAACCCCAGGTCTCGATCCGAGTTGCTGCTTTCTATCTACAATATCCCGTACTATGTCATGATATTGGTTCTCTTTATGCGACCTTAAGCGGGGTAAGCATATGAATCTCTGTCGATCTGGCCATTATCGTTCCTGCGATCGGCTCCCTGAAACATTGAGGCTTTGGGACACTAAATTTCCATAACACCTGCTGCCATTGCAATCTTGCAGGTCAACATGTCGGTGTATGCCAGCTTTGTAAAGCCCTGGATCCCTAAGAAGGAATCACCCTCGTTCCTACTGGTCAATGCTAGATTAGTCGACCCAGTCGAGAGGGTTTGGGATACGCGCACAGGTGCTTCCATCTTTGGATATTTTGAGGAGTGCCACTATCAATCCAGCTCGTATGAGGGATCAGCCCATGCTAGGATAGGTTAAGAAGGTGTTTTTTGCAGGTCTTTTGACGCTTGAGAATAATCCGTTGGAGGGTATTAGGATGCTTGAGCAGTGGGAGACAGAGACCCTGTTGGTTGTTCAGGATGTGCCGTAGCTCCATTGATGGACTTACTGGGTTGTTGTTGGATGAGTAACCGTTTTTGGGCGCGTGAGGGTATGCATCACTTATGGATTGGAATACATCGTTAAAAATGTCAATGTATAGACATATACCATTTTTGAATATTGTGCTATTTACCCTTCAACCCAATATAGAGTAGCTTCCCACGACGATTACGCTAGACCTCCGATTGTAATGGTCTTGAAGTGGGTGAACTCATCGATTCCATACTTGCTTCCCTCTCTTCCAAACCCGCTCTCCTTGACACCACCGAATCTGTTTGACTTGGTTAGCAGAAGTTCCACTTGGGTCACCAGATAAAAGGGTCACTTACGGAGCTGCCACATTGCTGATGATGCCCGTATTAGCACCTACCATCCCAACCTCAAGCGCCTCGGCGACACGGAGCAGTCTTCGTATGCTCCGAGTATAGATGTAAGCCGCCAAACCAACCTCACACTTGTTTGCCTCTCGGATAACGTCCTCCTCCTCATCGAAGGCAAAAAGAGCTGCAACAGGCCCAAACGTCTCCTCGGAGGCCAATCGCATATCATGCGTCATGTCCACTAACACAGTCGGCTGAACATAGTTCTCCCCCAGGTGTTCCAACCTCTCCCCACCAACAAGGACTCTGGCCCCCTTAGCTTTCGCATCCTCAACATGAGCCATGACCTTCTCAGCAGCTGCCTTATGAATAAGCGGCCCATGTGTCACCCCATCCTCAAACCCAGACCCAACCCGAAACGTCCTCACCCTCTCAACCAACCTTTCCGCAAACCTTTCATAGCAAGACCGATGTACATAGATCCGATTCGCACAAACACAAGTCTGCCCAGTGCCCCGAAACTTCGACGAAATCAACCCATCAACAGCCTCATCCAGACTCTCCACATCCTCAAACACAATAAAAGGCGCATTACCCCCCAATTCCCACGAGACACGCTTCACAGTCCCCGAAGCCTGTCCCATAAGCAGCTTCCCCACCCTCGTTGACCCCGTAAACGACACCTTCCTTACCTCCGCATGCGTAGAAAGACACCGTCCAACCTCCACTGTATTCTTCATCGCCGTCACAACATTGATCACCCCCGCAGGGATCCCAGCCCGATGAGCCAGCTCCGCCAACGCATTCGCCGTAAACGGCGTCTCGCCGGGACTCTTCGCCACGACTGTGCACCCCGCCGCCAGCGCGGGCCCTATCTTCCGGGTAATCATGGCGGCGGGGAAATTCCACGGCGTGATCAGTCCGCAGACGCCCACTGGTTCACGTTTCGTGAGGACTAGGTTCCCTGGCACGGAGACGGGGATGGTATCCCCGTATAGACGGGTTGCTTCTTCGCTGAACCATTCGATGAAGGCGGCGGCGTATGCTACCTCGCCTTGGGCTTCTGGGAGAGGCTTACCGTTTTCCCAGGTGATTAGTGTGGCGAGGTCGTCGCGGTTGGCAATTATGAGGTCGTGCCACTGTCGGAGAAGGCGGGCGCGGTCTCGGACGAGGGTGTGGCGGAAGGTTTGGAAGGCTGCTGAGGCTGCTGCTATGGCTCTTGTGGTGTCGTTTGCTGTGAAGTCGGGGCAGGTGCCTATCTGGAGGTTTGTTGCTGGGTCTGTGGTTGTTTTTTTTTTTTTTGTGTTGTGTTAGTTTGGGTGTTTTGTATGTTATGGGGTTTGAGGGTTTGTGTAGTATTTACCATAGACGGGAAAGGTTGCGTTTGTTTGGGAGGTGGTCCATTTGCCGTTGACGTAACATTTTTCTATGAAGAGGGTTTTGTCTTTTAACTGGAGTTTTGTCAATTGACTACTGGGTCGTTTTCATTGGCAGGTTACCACTTACCTCAGGGATGGTGTGAGACATAGTGGTGTATACTTGGAGATGGAGGGCTTAACAACAACTTGCAATGTGAGACTTGTGATCTATGGACAAAATGATATTTTCCATATCTGGGCGATAGTCAACGCTATAGCTTATATTCAGCAGAATACCCTATGTTTTGCCTGCTATCCATCCACTCGGACCGGGAGGGAAAGCCGGTACATGCCGAGTTTCGAAGTGGATATCTGTATCCGAAACTATGATCGGTAAGCTGTCCTCATACTCGGATATTTGTTGTCATACTCAAGTAGTGTTTCTTGTGTGCTAGAATCTGGATAATTAGACGTATTCGGGTGGATGGGAATATTGATAGGGCATTGAGTCTTTTTATATACGTTATGATCAGGCTGTCTCCAGTTATTATTGGGAGTATTTTTCTTCTTCTCTGTATCTCGTTCCATTTGGATCTGTCTACTGTGTTTTTTCTACCAAGTTTGTTTGCATTGCATCTTCTTTAGGTACTTCTAGTATGTACCATTGAACAAAGGGACTAGGGCTCGGGTGCATGTACCCGAGTGAAAGAGTATGGAGTACGTATTTCCAGGCAGAAATTGCTAGCAACTGTACCTGTCATAGCAAAATTTAGTAGGGAAAGGATACTGGATAGTACAAATACAGTATGTACAATTTTTAATATCGTCACATAGTAGTAACATAGTGTACAAGGCAGGAGGGAAAAAAAAAAAAAAAAAA